AATACTGAGAGGGTGCTGCTTTTATATTTTTAAAACATTTTATAGCTACAATAATTGAAATAGTGTATTAATGACAGGATAGAGGTAAATCAATTTGGCAGACTAGGAAATCCAAATAAAGGCACAAATAATTAGGAATGGTGTTTGATACAGAAGTTATTTTAGATCAGTGAAAAGATGGATTATTCAATAAAATGGATAACTGGGTAGCAATATATTTAGAAAAGATGAAATTTGATACATTCATCATAAGAAGAGAGAAAAATGATTACTTTATGCCTACATAAAATGTTAGTCCCCAAATATTGATAAGCAGGGAGGGCTTCCTATAATGTGGCCTATAATGTGCCTTGAAATGTAGTAGTGAAAAATAAATTAAAAGCTTAAATCCTCACTATCATGTTGCTTTTTTTCTTTTGTGATGTTTATTAGAAAATATATCAGACACTCAAAAGTTATATTATTACAAACATCCATGTACCTCGCATCATGGATTTAGAGTGTCCTAAATGTCCGTGAAGCCCACACACATCACACACCCTCTCTGGCTTCTCCTCTCCCCTAGGACCTCGTCAGGGGTCCTGCAGTGACAAATCCGAGCCACCTCTTTGATTTAAGACTTTATATTTGAAATGTTTCCACAATGTTTTATAAGCACTAGTACTTGCATTTTCACTGTTGTCCGTATGGGTATTATTTATATTTCCATATATCTGACCGATATGTATACCTAAAACTTTTATAAATTTTTTTCTCTTCTATTAGCAAATCCTTTCTGGTCCACCCTCATAGCACACCCAGAGCGTAACGTGGCCAAGCCATCACCATGTAACTGAATCACTGTGACCGCTTCCTCACTGGTCACTTACTCAGGCTATTCACAGCACAGTAGCCAGGGAGATCTTTGTGAAATAGCAGCCAGAATCTTTTGCACTCAGTGGCTGCCAGATCATCCTGAGCACAGCGCAAAGCCATGTCGAATTCTGAATGCGCCTGCACGAACCCTCTCCCTGCCCGGTGCCTCTCTGGCCCTTTGCTCTTTCTCCCTCACCTCCAGCACAGCAGGCCTCCCGGGTGGCCCTTAGCCGTACCAGGCATTCCTCTGCCTCAGGAGAGCGCTCGCTGCTACTTCCTACTGGAATGACCTCCTGGGTTCTCTCACCCTGCTCTCCGTGATGCCTTCCTCAGCCACGCTACTGACGTTCCATATCACCACGGGAAATTATTTCTTTCTCTGCTCTATTTTTCTTCGCACCATTTATTGTTTATATCACATAACATAATTTGTTTATTTCTTTTGTCTGTTATCAACCTTTCTCCTTGGAGGCACCAAAAAAGAAAGCCTTTTTGACTTTTTTGTTAACTGACATAACCTTTGAATCTAGAACTTTTCCAGGCACATCCAGCTGCTCAACAGATATGTTGTATAGGAAGCAATTTCTCAAGCATATTCTCAAGCAATTGATAAGAACTGAAAAGAGAAAAATTTGTAAATTTACAATTAGCTGAACTTAGATATTCTTGGTTATCTTTTAAGGATTTTTGGAGAAATTATAAGGAAAAGATGTCCCTTGAGGTGAAAGATGAGAATATAAAATAGCATGAGTACAAGCAAATGATTTAAGGAAAACTAATCAGAACTGCCCTTATCTGACTCCCTTTCTGTTCCTTTCCAAGTTACCACATTGTATTCCCATTTCAGTCCCTAGAATTAGATTTATGATTCTCTTGACTAGCTTCTAGTAGCCTTGTGTGACAATTATTTGACCCCCTGCTGCCATTCCATTTGGATCCCAAACTCTGTTGAATTACTGGTACCTTTTCTTATATTTCTGCCTTTAAATGGCATCTATGTTTGCCAAGTACCATCTTGCCAAGTAGCAATGTGGTCCATAACAGCAATAATTTTATTTTTGATTTCCAAAGGAATGTTTTCTCCACCAGGAGCAATGATTCTTGGGGAGCAGTAGGTGTAGTCATAGACTGTCAATAGTCAAAATTGTTTTATTTTCCTATTACCAAATATATTAACATTACAGAAGAAAGGGTAAAGGTTTATATTGTTCAATAGGTTGTCTAGGCATGGTGAGTGTGGTTCCCAAATTTATCACTGAGGAAGATATAACAAAAAAGTAATAATGGAAACTAACATTTACAGGGTGATTACTATGACTGCATCAACTGCTAAGTGAATATTTGTATTACCTCATTGTATTCAACCCTATGAGGCTGACCCTGTTTTTCACAGAAGTAAGAATCACTGAGAAGTCAAATAACTCATCCAGGATTGCAGAACTAGGATTCAGTTCAGGCAGTCAGATTTCAAGTCCTGGCTCTCGACTCTGCATACTTCAGAGGGAACAGAGTACTAGTGAAACATGCCTGGAAAAATAAATGATTTTTAAAAACTCATCAACATTTTGCAAATGTTGATAAATGTATTATCTTTCTAGTAATCCTTTAGACACAACTCAGAGTTTAACATAGCTTTTTAAACCTTACATGTGGTAGATATGACTTGTAAATCTCTATAGATCTAATCCAAAATCTACAGAAACTATGATCAAATATTTTGACTTTTATGTGTCACTTCCCTTTTTGAATGTGCATTTCTTGTACTAACAATTTATAAACTTTATTCAGCAAAAATAAATGGAACTTATATAAAATGAGGAAAAAGAGCTATTGCTTATTCACAATAAATTTTTCATAGGTTGAAGTTTGTATGTATTTCTAAGACCAATGAGCAGAACATCCCAGAAAAAAGGAAACCACTTTCTGTGGTAACTTGTCTTCTTTTATTTTAATTGAGGTATCATTGATATACAATCTTACACTGGTTTCAGGTATACAGGACAGTGGTTCAACAGTTGCCACATTATTAAATCCCTACCCCACTAGAGCAGTTACTGTCTGTCAGCGTAGGAAGGTGTTACAGAGCCATTGACTATATTCCCCATGCTGTACTACCATCCCCATCACCAAAGTATATTATGATTGACAGTATTTGGGCCCTTTTATTACCCTCACCCTTCGCCCCAAAACCCCCAACCCCTTCTCTGTGGTAACCACTAGTCACTTATCAGTGTCTATGAGTCTACTGTTTTGTTCATTTTGTTTTGTTTTCTTCTTATATTTTACAAATAAGTGAAATCATATGGTGTTTGTCTTTCTCCACCTAGCTAATTTCACTTAGAATAATACTTCTAGGTCCATCCATGTTGTTGAAAATGGCAGGATTTCTTTCTTTTTTATAGCCAAACACTATTCCATTGTGTATGTGCACCACATCTTAATCCATTCATCTATTGATAGTCACTTAGGTTGATTCCATACCTTGGCTCTTGTAAATAATGTGGCAATAAACATAGGGGTGCATATATACATTCCTACCAACCATGCAGGAGGGTTCCTTCCCCTTTCTCCACATCCTCACTAGCATTTGCTGTTTCTTGTCTTTTGTATAGTGACCATCCTAACTGGTGTTCGGTGCTATCTCCCTGTGATTTTAATTTATATTTCCTTGACGATTACTGATGCAGAACATTTGTTCATGGGTCTGTTGGCAATTGTATGTCTTCCTTAGAAAAATGTCTTTCAGGTCCTTCACATGTTTTTAAACAAGTTACTGGCTTGAAGTCAGGGAGCATAATCCCCCCTGCTTTATTCTTTCTTCTCAGGATTGCTTTTGGCTATTCAGGGTCTTTTTGTGGTTCCATATGAATTTTAGGATTATTTGCTCTAGCTCACTGAAAAATTCCATTGGTATTTTGATAAGGGTTGCATTGAATCTATAAACTGCTTTGGGCAGGATGGCCATTTTGATAATAGTCTTCTTATCCATGAGGATGTGATAGATATCCATTTATTTGTGTCATCTTTACTTTCTCTCATGAGTGTCTTATAGTTTTCAGAGCCCACATATTTCACCTTATTGGCTAGGTTTATTCCTTTGTATTTTTTGATGCAATTGTAAATGGAATTGTTTTCCTGATTTCTCTTTCTTCTAATTTGTTGTTAGTATATAGGAATTCTCAACAAAACAGTATAGAAGGTACATACCTCAACAAAATAAAGGTCATACATGATACCCACAGCTGACATCATACTCCATGGCAAAAAGCTGAAATCTTTTCCTCTAAGATCAGGAACAAGACTCTCACCACTTTTACTTACCATAGTACTGGAGGTCCTAGCCACAGCAATCAGACAACACAAAGAGATAAAAGGCATCCAAATTGGTAAGGAAGAAACTGTCATTATTTGAAGATGACATGATATATAGAAAACCCTAGAGACTCCACCATAATACTGTTAGAACTAATAACTGGATTCAGCAAAGTTGCAGGATACAAAAGTAGTAACTCACAACTTACCTTCTTTATAAAAATACACTGGGGATCTCTTTTGGCGACCCTTCCTCTGTCATGAAGAACTTCTTTTCTTAACTGTTACACCATTGAAAGAAAGCCTCTGATGACATGGACAGAAATTAAGAGTATATATTCTATGAAATTAATTTGATAAGTTGACATATAAAAATTTACAATTTTAAATACAAAGCAATATCACTTACTTACAGAGGCCATGCAGGTATAATAAATGAGAGAAAGTGGGTCAAATTATTGAGAGTATAAAACAAATGTTTTATGTAGGATGTATATGAAGGGATATACATAAACAGAGACTAAAAATGAAATGCTGTATTTTACTACTTCATAGGATAAATGCTTTCATTAACTGGATTATGAAACTCCAACTTTCTTAGAATCTGCATCTCTCAAGCTGGTATACTGTGTTAATTTTATAATTTTTGTAGTAACTCATTGTATTTGAAAATAATGTCATCATTTAGAGCACTACTTGGATAATTCTTTGAACTGTGTTTACCAATTCTTACATTTGGGAAACTCCAGGTTATTTCTATTAGAAATAGCAAATACTTTTCTAACCACATTCTTTTATTTTTTTGTCTTTGTGTGTGTGTGTTTTTGTTGTAGAGAAGGCCAGCAATCACCAGAACAATGGCAGAAGATGTATGGTAGATGCTCTGGGAATGAAGTATACCACATTGTTTTGGAAGAAAGTACATTTTTTGCTGAATATGAAGGAAAGAGCTTTACATATGCCTCTTTCCATGCACATAAAAAGTATGTTTCTGCTTCCAGAGTCAAATTAAAATATTATCCAATCACACATTTTAAATATAGTTTTCTGAAATAGAACCCATACTGGGGCTCGTGAGATGCACGTGCTCCAGAATTTTTTACGTTGTTATTTAGACATTTGAACTCTGGCCTTCTATATGGTCTCCTCAAGTTAAGATTATAAGGTATATAATTAGTAGGAGTATTGACTTTAATACCTTTTAAATTATCTTTAAAAACATTAAAAAAATATTAAGAACTCACAAATATATGAAAATGAATCCTTTATAAGTCTAAACTTTAAAGTATTGATTAAAATTTAAACAAAGTAGTAATAACATTTATAAAAGCTAAACATTTAAAAAAACTTGCTTTGGCTAGAAAAATTAGTTAAAATATAAATGACTGTACATTCCAATTCAAACATTGAACACTATTTTTTCCTTTTGGAGTAACATTATTTACTTAAGTAAAAATGTATGTCTATCATGGAAGTAATATATTATCATATTATCATATTATAAATATATTAATGTAGCATATTTATAAAGATTTGTATTGTATCTTTTATATGATGCATTCTACTTCAATTCTCATTATGATTCAATCTACACATACACTTCTGATGTTTAAAAAATATTTTTAGTTTGATTTATTTGTAACAATAAGGCATATTGAAATAAAGGTATTAAGGACATTTTGTGTTTGGGGCATAACCTGAAAAAGTATATAAGAAACTTGTAAGTAACACCTGTTACATTCAGTGGTTGTTAATTCTCCTAGTTAAGCTGCCCACCCATTTAAAATGATTTAAAATTTTTTAAAATAAAATTTAGGGTAAACCAAATATGGTAACAGCAATATGGTAACAACAGAATAAAAAGAAATGTAGGGTGTCATGATTCTTTCTTATGTGACCTTGGCTAAGTTTCCCCCTCTCCTTTAGGCCAATGACTTTCAAATATTTTTTGACTAAAGTGACGTTATGTTTTACTTTTTTTGATGACAGTAAGATATATATTTTTATGGTAAGATCCAGTGCACACACAAATGTAAAAAAAATTTTTACCATATATTATATGATATTATATGATATACCATCTTCATTTAAATGTATATATACATATGTCATAATCAACTAAATTGATTTCATGATACCCTAATTATTTCTTTTCCTATAAATATTGATCCTTTTCCTATAGAAGCAAGAGTCTTGAACTTTTAGGGTTCTTTCAAGCTTTAAAATACTGTGCCTTGACGTTTTAACTCTCCTTTGCCTTATGACACTTTACTAATTTTCTTATATATGCAAACTTAAGGACAAAAAAACCGTAAGACTTTTGGTGAATTGCAATTCTTAAACTCTTTTATTTTTTTTTTTAAATTAAGGTTTGGTGTTTGCTTGATTGGTGTTAGGAGGGAGGATAATAAAAACATTTTGCTGAATCCAGGTCCTCGATATATTATGAATGCTACAGATACATGTTTTTATATTAATATTACCAAAGAAGAGAATTCAGCATTTAAAAACCAAGACCAGCAGAAAAAAAGCAAAGTACCAAGGTCATTTTATCATGGACCTTCTAGACTACCTGTACATAGCATAATTGCCAGCATGGGTAAGTATAAATAAATCTGAAAATGTCATTAGTTTCTTTCTAAAAATGAATAATAGCAAACTTGAAAATTTATTAAAATTTGATAGTAAAAAAATTAAAATAAAATTGTGTATATTATATACTTGTGTGACTAATTATACAGAACAAAATTTCTAAGCTACTAAATTGGTAAGAAATTAACCTAATTCAAAACTTCTAACAATTATTTCATATTACATATTATAATATAAGCACCTAATACTTCTATACTTACTTTAAAAATTCTTTATCCATTATCAACAGAGACTATTTTAAATGTTCTCTATTTTTCTCAAGACTCTCCTTCTATCCTTCATCTCATTCTCACAATTGAAGTTTGCTTCTGTGGCACAAAAGTTAAAAATAATACGGAATAGATCCAAAAAGTAATATCCTTTAAATTTTACAGTCAAACTACCAACAGTTTCAAATATTTAGTTTCTGTCAAAGGAGAATGTGTCCTTTATTTTAGCTTTTAATATTTTATTATTAATGCCTTCACTTCTGCATTGTATATATCTCTGTTCCTTAGGAACTTCACTCTGTTTTAACTCATCTTTATTACCTAACTTTCACTTTCAACAAGACTACTTATTCCCCCTTCCCTCCTTCTGTCTCTCTGTTTTTCTCTTTTAACATCTGTATGCACACACACACCTTTCTGGACTTGATGTTATGACATCTTCACATATCAGACCCTCAAAAGAGTTGTCTTTAGTTGCTGGTTTGAAATTGTATTGTCTCCTCATATATCTGCCCAGTTCAATATGAAGTCTGCAATCATTATATCACAAGTACTGCTCTGGCAAGGCCACCACTTTCCTCTCTGTCACTAGATCCATATCACTGACAATGTTCTTGAAACACTCTGGTGCTTTTTCTCTGCATCACATACATTCATTTTCCCTGAAGAGTTATATCTGCCTTCATGCGTTCAGTTGTCCTCCATACATTGATGATTCCCTTATCTAAATCACTAACTTAAACTTTTCTTTATAGCAATATATTCAACTGTCCACTGGTAATTTTTGTCTGGATGTCTTACAGGAAAAACCAACACAGCAGATTCATATTGAACAAATCTCTCAGCCCTCATTCAAAGCCATTTCTTCCTCCATTTTTTGCCAAAAAAACCCCAGATAACACCACTATCCTCCAATTTGTAATGTCACAATTCTGACTTTTCACCACCCCTCTCTTCTGATAGTTTATAATTTACCAAATTCTATTAAATTTTATCAGTAAGTAGCCCCTAAAGTCATTCAGTTCTATGTCCACTACCTGTTTCATCACAGTGTGAGCCTCATCATCTCTTCCCTCAGCAGCAAGACCAACCTCCTAATCCTTTATCCCTGCCTCTGTTCTTACTGCCCTACACTCTTCTGCACCTTACCACCAGTGTAATAATTTTTTACATAATTGTGATAATGTCATGCTTCTGAATAAATCATTTTATTTATTATTTAAAAAAGTTTTTATTTTGGTATCATTAATTTACAATTACATGAAGGACATTATGTTTACTAGGCTCCCCCCTTCACCAAGTCCCCCCCACATTCCCATTCACAGTCACGAACATAGTAAGATGCTGTAAAATCACTACTTGTCTTCTCTGTGTTGCATAGCCCTCCTCATGCCCCCCCTACACTATACATGCTAATCGTAATGCCCTTTTTCTTTTTGTCCCATCCTTATCCCTCCCTTCCCACCCATCCTCCCCAGTCCCTTTCCCTTTGGTAACTATTAGTCCATTCTTGGGTTCTGTGCTTCTGCTGCTGTTTTGTTCCTTCAGTTTTCTTTTGTTCTTATACTCCAC